TGCTATAGAGAAAATTAAAGGTCAAATGTTTATGGGGCGAGCTAGTAAAACAAGGCAAATCAGGAAGTGCAGAGTGTGGGGAGGAGGATCCCAATTACGTGGCTCATTGATAAAAAGTCATATGTGAGTGACCCTAAGTAAGTTAAAGTAAGATTTACAAATACCCGGGGAAGATACTTCCAGGAAAAAGGAACAAAAAGTAAAAAGACTCCAGAGATTGAAGCATGCTGGGTGCATTCCAAGAGGAGGAATGGAGCCAGAGTAACTGGAACAAGGAGGGTGGGGGACAGATGGTAGGCTATAAAGTCATGGGGCAGTGAGGGTTTTTAGGTGACATTAAAGACTTAGGCTTTGCCTTTGGTGGATTTGGGAAATCCCTCAAGGGTTAGAGCAGAGGAAGGGCATGATCCAACATATGCTTTAAAGGATCCCTCTTTCTGTAGGGGACTAAGGGGAGAAGACCAGGAGACCAGTTATGAAGTTATTGAGATAGTCCAGGAGAAGGACTAGAGTAGTGGATGTGGTGAGAAGTGGGCAGATTCTGGATATAATTTGAAGGTGGAGCTGGCTAGATTTGTGAATGATTGGGTGTGGAGTGTAACAGAAAGGACATAATAAAGGAGAACTCCAAAATTTTTGTCCCCAGTAAGTAGAAGAATGGAATTTCCATCATCTGAGATGAAGAAAATTGTGGGAGGAGCAGGCGTGTGGGGCCCAGAAGAGGTTCAGTTTTGAACATGCTCCTTTTGAGATGCCTATTAGACTGATAAGCCTATGAGTGGAGATGATGAATAGGCAGTTGAACACATGAACTTGAGTTCAGGAGAAGGGAGTGGACCAAAGATGTAAATTTTATGGCCTCTAGTACACAGTTGTTATTAAAGCCATGTGACTAGGTGAGATTATCAAGGGATGCTCATATAGAGAAGAGAGATCTGCAGTGTGAGCACTGTCCTCAATATGATTCTATAATCAGATGGCACAGAGTTGAATTTTTTAATGGTGATTTTTATACAATTATATTAATGGTATGAGTAAAATATTGGTGTTCTATATATGTTAGTGACCTGGAGTTCCTCTTAAAATAACTTGTTTAAGTAAAAACATGAGTGCATTTAAACTACTAATTGAGTAATACATAATGCTAGTGCTGCACAGATATTTCAATATTTTGAACACAGTTTAGGAAGACATTTGGGAAAAACAGGTGTATTAGAAAGAATCCTGTCCTGGGGTCAACAGCTTCTGTCCTCATAATTAGCCAAGAGCTTTTAGGCAAGTCTTTCAATTTCTCTATGTCTGTTTCTTCTTAAAATATGGTAGTAATACCCTCAGTAGTATTTTCCATTCATGCCTCTAAGAAAATTGAACCTAATTCCAAATAATTTTCATCAGAAAAATGTTTTTCGTCAGATGTCCTTAGCTTGCACATGGGAGAGTGTAAGAGTTTTTTGTTTTGTTTTTGTTTTGTTCAGAGGAAAGTATGCCCCAAAGGACATCCCAC